TCAGCCTTTGCGTCCAACAAAAGGCGTGCAACCTCCAAGTGACCCTGATGAGCTGCACTGAACAATGGGGTGGCGCCCTGGTTCTGGGCCTTGTCCTTGTCAGCCTTTGCGTCCAACAAAAGGCGTGCAACCTCTAAGTGCCCATTCTGAGCTGCGGTGAACAATGGGGAGGCGCCACTGTACATGGCCTTGTCCTTGTCAGCCTTTGTGTCCAACAAAAGGCGTGCAACCTCCAAGTGCCCATTCCCAGCTGCGATGATCAATGGGGTGACACCATCGTTCCTGGCCTTGTCCATGTCAGCCATTGCATCCACCAAAAGGCATGTGACCTCCAAGTGCCCATTCTGAGCTGCGACGATCAATGGGGTGACACCATCGTTCCTGGCCTTGTCCATGTCAGCCATTGCATCCACCAAAAGGCATGTGACCTCCAAGTGCCCATTCTGAGCTGAGATGTACAATGGGGTGGCGCCATCGTTCACAGTCTTGTCCTTGTCAGCTTTGGCCTCCAACAACAGGCGCGCCACCTCCAAGTGGCCGCCGGCGGATGTGATGAACAATGGGGCTGGATCACCTAAATCCGGGTCTTGTGGCCTTTGCAGAATCGTCTCCACGACTGATGTCTGGCCACTTCCTGCAGCACCTCGAAGCTCTTCTACTTGCAGTGCAGATGTTGACCTGAAGTTCACAACCACGAGCTGAACATCGCCAGGTTTCAAGATGTGCTCGTCGTCTGTGTCACTCAACAGGATGTCATCGCCCAAAACCAGCAGCCGTTGCTTGAATCTTGGCTGCCCGCAGAAGCCGTGCAAGTGTTGCTTCAGTGCCCGGACAGGAGAGATCTCTGCAGTGAGCGCGTCAAGAAAGCTCTGCAACTCAATTGTCACGAGGACTTCCCCCGACACTGAGCGAATGCGTAACATCCGCGGCTCGTGGTGTGTAAGAGTACCCTAATGGTCCATGTATTCATGCAGTATATACATTGGCCTCACAGTAGTCCCTTTTTCGGTACGGTGGAGCCAAAATATATAATGTTTGTTTATGCCTAAAAAGTTTTAGGGCTCATTTACCATATAGGGATTCATACATCGCGGTATAGGGCCCCTACTTTTGAGGGTTGTTTCGTCCTTAAAGTAAGAGTATACTCAAGCAGCAACTCGCGCCTCTAAGCATTCGGCTTGAGCTTTGGCAAACGGGCAACCCGTACGCTTTAAGACATGCGGACGATAAGGGCTACGAAAAGCTACAAGGGCTCTTTTCCGGGTTATACTCTAACGATTCTATGAGTCCGTAGCCGTCTCGTGTTCTTTTTTATTTTTCCTGGGCTTTCGTTCTTTCACAACACTACTGGTAATGTAGAGGCCTTAATATTAAGAATATGGTCTTGCGCTCCTTGAAGGTAAAAATTATAATAAGGAGCCCCCAAAAAATCGTATTGGTCATTATTCAGGCGCCTATATTAAACGGTTTAACGTCTCGGGCTTGAAACCCAACTCCGGGATGCAAACTACCTTAAGGACGAAATGAACCCTAACAGGTTTCAGGGATGACCTGTGACCCCAACCCCCCGACAAGATCGTAGGTTATGACCCGCTTTAAGTAGAGAGTAGAACCCATAAAGCAGTAGGGTTTTTGGAAACCCCAGGTAGCCCGAAGGGTCCAAAGGACCTAATAATCATGTACTTGGGTTATGGATAGTAGTTTTTGTAGGTTAGGATTCAGAAGAGTATATAATCATAAGAGGCTTGGACCCTTAGGGTAGGGTTTAGGGTCCAGGGTTTCGGGCTTAGGGTTTGGGGTTTTCG